ACTAAAATTTTCTTCATATGAGCAATAAGTCTGTTTCATTTTCTTATCATTCATGTGTTCCCTGGAGTAGCATTTTTTTTTTTTTTTGAGACAGAGTCTCACTCTGTCGCCCAGGCTGGAGTGCAGTGGCGCGATTGAAGTAGCACTTTTTTTTTTCTTTTTCTGACACAGAGTCCTGCTCTGTTGCCCAGGCTGGAGTGCAATGATGCGATCTTGGCTCACTGCAACCTCTGCCTACCAGGTTCAAGCAATTCTCCTGCCTCAGCCTCCTGAGTAGCTGGGACTACAGGCACGCACCACCACACCCAGCTAATTTTGCATTTTTAGTAGAGACGGGGTTTCACCATGTTGGTCAGGCTGGTCTCGAACTCCTGACCTTGTGATCTACCTGCCTCAGCCTCCCAAAGTGCTGGGATTACAGGCATGAGCCACCACACCCGGCCTGGAGTAGCACTTTTAATTTCCTTCAAGAACTTTTCCTTTGCATTCACAACTTGGCTAACTGCGCAATGTAAGAAGACTGGCTTTTGGCCTTTCTTCTCTTGTGACATGCCTTCCTCACTAAGATTCATAATGTCTAGCTTTTGATTGCAGTGAGAGATGTGCAACTTTTCCTTTTGCTTGAACATATAGAAGTCATTGTAGGGTTATTAATGGGCCTAATTTCAATATCATTTTGTCTCAGGGAATGAGGACGCCCAAGGAAAGGGACAGAGATAGGGGAATAGATGGTCTACAGAGCAGTCAGAACACACATACATTTATTAATTAAGTTTGCTGTCTTATGTGGGCGTGGCTTGTGGTACCTCAAAACAATGACAACAGTAAGGTCAAAGATTGCTGATCACAGATCCATAACAGTAATAATAATAACACCATAATAATAAGGAAAAAGTTTGAAATCTTGTGTGAATTACCAAAATGTGACACAGAGACACAGAGTGAGCATACGCTGTTGGACAAATGGTGCCAAAACACTTGCTTGATGCAGGGTTGCCATAAACATTCAATATGTTGAAAACACAGCGTCTGTGAAGCGCAATAAAGCAAAGTATAGTAAAATGAGGTGTGCCTGTACCTAGGAGTGGAATACCTGGACTTAGAGAATGTAGGTCTTCAGGCTTATTTGATATGGTTACAGTCTTTTCTTTTTTCCCTTTTTGTACCAGCAGTGTATTGGAGATCTCAGTGTGGGACATCTTTGCTAATACTTGGTATTGTTTGACATTTAAATTGTAGCTATTCAGATGGGCATGAATTGGTTCTGATTGCTGTTTTTAAGATGTGGCCTGACTGTCAAGCCTGCAGAGAACAGATAAGCTGCTGGACCCGTTTTGTTATTTGTAAAGCAGAGTCATGAAATTGTGGCCCTAATAAGCTCTTGTATATCCAGAGCTCTGGAGACTTCCATAGATAGAGAACAATATGGAGAACTTTATGAGATACTTGTATGATTCCTCTGTACAGTATTAGTTGGCTGTATTAGATCACTGATGATTTTGACTATATTTAGTATGGAACATATTTTAAACCTGTAATGTAAACTTTTTGCAACTGAATAGTATAAAGTTCTAGAAATTTATTAGTATAAGCCATTTGCAAATTGTTTAGCCCCTGGAAGTCCTGCAAAAGCAGGATCATTCCCATTTCCATTCTTTGTCTCTGCCCTTTAGTCTTGCTGTTAATAATGCCAATTCCTTCAGCATTTTCTCATATAGTTCCTCTCAACTTTTTTTTTTTTTTTTTTTTTTTTTTGAGACGGAGTTTTGCTCCGTTGCCCAGGCTGGAGTGCAGGGGTATAATCCCGGCTCACTGCAAGCTCCACTTCCCAGGTTCATGCCATTCTTCTGCCTCAGCCTCCGGAGTAGCTGGGACTACAGGCGCCCGCCACCACACCCGGCTAATTTTTTGTATTTTTAGTAGAGACAGGGTTTCACCGTGTTAGCCAGGATAGTCTCGATCTCCTGACCTTATGATCCGCCCACCTCGACCTCCCAAAGTGCTGGATTACAGGCATCAGCCTCCGTGCCTGGCCCCGCTCAACTCTTCAATCTTGTAAAAGTTAATTTTTTTTTCTTTGGTACTGCATACATAATGCACACAAAGCTTTGCATAACTTTCGAAATTAACTCCTCTTTCAAGGTGAAGATTAAATACCTGAGACCACTATGGTTTTTCTTGTTTGATATTTGTAGCAGAATGGCATTTTACCAGATAACCTGTTTCAAGATATCTCATCAAAATTATACTTAAATCAGTACCTTAGTATTTAGGTAAGAAAGAAACTTTTCATGGTAAATGAAGGTTTTTCTCTCAGACTAGAGTCTGATTCAAAAGAAGACTAAGGAGAAGCTTCAATTTGAATTGTGAATAGACCATGTTGTGAATTGTGAAATACAACTAGAACATGGTTTTCAGTTCAGTTTCTCACATGGGTGTCGATCTGTTGCTTTTAATATGTGTAGGTAGATCCTGCAGAGTAAAACTAGCAAACTATAATCTACTAATAAGTGAGAAGCTTTCTTTTTTTTTCTTGAGACAGAATCTCGCTCTGTCACCCAGGCTGGAGTACAGTGGCGTGATTTCAGCTCACTGCAACCTCTGCCTCCTGGGTTCAAGCGATTCTCCTGCCTCAGCCTCCTGAGTAGTTGGGATTACAGATGCCTGCCACCACGCCCAGCTAATTTTTGTATTTCCACTAGAGATGGGGTTTCACCATGTTGTCCAGGCTGGTTTTGAACTCCCGAACTCAAGTAGTCCACCCGCCTCGGCCTCCCAAAGTGCCGGGATTACAGGCGTGAGCCACCACGCCTGGCTAAAGTGAAGAGCTTTCTATGCGGAGAGCTTTATAAATGTTGTGTCACTTAATTTACACAATGTGCTTTTTCTAGAGGTATTTTAACAAACTAGTTCTCTTACAGAATGTTTATGTGCCACTGTGCTCAGCTTTGCACATACATTCATTATATCATTTTCTGCTGACCAGGGTGTCTCCAGACACTACCTCACTCATCCTGGCTTTAGCTATTTTCCAGAATCTTCCACAGATGTAGATGGTGATATTAATTTAGGCTCTGAAAATAAACGAAATATTAGTCTTTGGATATTTCCCTCCAGTAAGTGTTCAAAAGCCAAGAAAGTTCAAGGGTTTGATTAAAAATAGTTGGCCTTCTTGGCTATCAAATGAAGCATTCTCCTTCAGAGGGAAAGGTAAAGTCAGGAAATCCTGAGATGTTCTAAATCCTACTTTACTGAAGTGATAAAAGATTAGAGGTCAGCCTCAAAGTTATTTTTATTTAAAACTGGGCAGACTCCAGGTTGCACCAGATTTTCTTGGCCCAACGCTTTCTTTTCCTTTTTTTTTTTTTTTTTTTCTTGAGACTGAGTTTTGCTCTGTCACCCAGGCTGGAGTGCAGTGGCATGATCTCGGCTCACTGCAGCCTGTGCCTCCCAGGTTCCAGTGATTCTCCTGCCTCAGCCTCCTGGGTAGCTGGGATTACAGGCGCATGCCACCACGCTCGGCTAGTTTTTGTATTTTTAGTAGCGACGGGATTTCACTATGTTGGCCAGGCTGGTCTCAAACTCCTGACCTCAGGTGATCCACCTGCCTCAGCCTCCCAAAGTACTGGGATTACAGGTATGAGCCATTCTGGGCAAAGCTCAGGACTGTCTGTGGCCGGTGGGACCTCGCCTATGGAAGTACCTCAAATGAAGGGATGTTGGATGTAGAGAGGAGAGGTTCTGACCCTGTTCCCAAGCCCGTGATCGTCCAGTGGTAGCACAGGCTTTGTATCAACATGACTGTGGATGCGGTGTTGGCCAGATGTAGAAACAGCACCCTGCATGGGGGCAGATCTGAGTTGATGAAGAATGAAAACCACTTCACAGGCACTGCAGGTGTCTGACTTCTGCTGGTGGCATCTGCCTTTTACGTGGTTATGAAATGAAGGAGAAACCTGAGTTAGTTCTGCTCAGCAGTTTAGCTTTGCCACATATTAGCTGCATGTCATTTAACTTCTCTGTGCATCAGTACCCTCATCTGTAAATTGGGGATACTAATAGAACAGTCCCATAGAGTTACTGGGAGGATGAAATGAGATTAAACATGTAAAGTGCAGGAATAGTGCCTGGAAAAGAGAAGATGCTCAGTAAATGTTAGATAGGATGATTACTGTGTTATTAGTAATATGTCTTATAAAGTCAGGGGAGAATCAGTTAATCCTTAATGTAGCCAAAGAGTTGTCTGAATAATCCTTCAGCAGTTTTAGAGATCAGTCATGTGCATTCAATTAGATGCAGAATCAATGTAGGTCTTCTCAATGTGTGGTCAAATTGAACTGAAAAATAAAGGAGAAGTGGGCAGGGCACAGTGGCTCACACCTGTAATCCCAGCACTTTGGGAGGCCGAGGCCGGCAGATCACTTGAGGCCAGGAGTTTGAGACTGGTCTGGCCAACATGGCAACATCCCATCTCTACTAAAAATACAAAAAATATTAGTCGGTGTGGTGGCGCATGCCTGTAGTCCCAGCTACTCAGAAGGCTGAGGCGAGAGAATCGCTTCATTCCAGGAGGGGGAGGTTTCAGTGAGCCAAGATTGCTCCACTGCACTCCAGCCTGGGCCACAGAGGCAGGCTCCATCCAAGTCTAACCCTGGGGTTTTCTCATGAAGAGCAGAGTGGAGGAAGCCTGGTGAGACCTGAGCCTCATCCCTGGAGAGAATGCCTGTCAGCCCAGACCATTTGGGAAGCAGGAAAAGTAAAGAGAAGCACAAACAGCCACAGACCAATTTCAGGAAATAGTAGTAAGGGAGAGTCGCCGAGCTTGTCAAATCTTGGTTTGAGTTTGGAGGTGAGATGAAAAAGCAGGAACGGGTCTCAGTCCTTCACAGGAGAGACACCATACTCCAGAAGTTTCCAGAGTGTGATGTTTGAAACTGGGATTTGGTTAGTTTTTTTCTTTTTTTCTAACTTTTAATGTAGAAAATTATACAAGTCACAAATACGCAGGTTAATTTTTTTAATTGTGATAAATTATACATAACACAAAATTTATTATTTTAATCATTTTGGGGGCACAGTTCAGTGGTATCAAGTACATTCACATTGCTGTGCAACCACCACCATCCATCTCAGAACATTTTCATTTTCCCAGGCTGAAGCTTCATTCCCATTAAACACGGTTTCCCCACTCCCTTGCCCCGTGGCCCAGGCCCTGGCAATCCCCATTGTGCCTTCTGTCTCTATGGATTTGACTACTCGGGACACCTCATGTAATAGAATTATACAAATTCGGTCCTGCTGCGATGGACAAATTTCACTTAGCGTAATGCCCACAAGGTTCAGCTTGGTGAATTTTATAAACTTGAACCACCTGTGTAACCAGCTCCCTGACAGTGAAACATGTCATTGCTAGCCACACAGACGTCCCTGTGCCCCCCTCTGGTCAGTCCCCTCTACCCTCGCAGGACCCCGAGGGCAACCTTGTCCTTTGTCAATGCAGAGAAGGAGGCAGAAGGGGGAAGACAGAGGTTTCTGCCTCTTACCTCCCCTAGGGAAGCTGCACATTTTATCCGTTTCACACGTTAGGCTTTAGTGTCTCTGCCAAAGAAAATCTGGAAACTTTGGCTTGGGCAATGTTTATATTTCACTCCCAGATTGTACAGATAAATGCCTTGTTTTATTTAGTCTGCCTTTGTTCAACTAACTCCCATTTTTGCGACTCTGTTTAGGCAGCCTCTTCTGGGGGAACCCTGTGCATCCCACAATCTGGAGACATCGTTGGCTGACTGTGACTCACCACCAGACAAATGCCCACCAGAGGACAGTCTCCTTGGCATCTGCGTAACCTCAAAGCCCAGCACAGTGTCCAGCGCTCAGTGGTTTCTACAATGCATGTTTAACTGAGCAGAGCTGAACTAGTGCTCCCAGGGAACTGACTGATGGAAGTCTGTCTTAAAAGCTGAGCTCTGTAATTCTGCAGCTGTTTGTCCTTGGAGACATCATTTAACTTCTCTGTCTGGGACTCTGCAACATAAGGAAAGTGCCGCAATATTAATCTGCCGTAAAAAGTCTATGAACAAGTGCCTAGGCAACTCTTAAGTTGAACAGCAGTTATCACATCGTCATTTAGTGTGCACACTTCATTCTCTCATTTACTTGAGAGAGATATTTTAAAATCTCTCATGTTAATCAAACCACATTTCCTGATCTAGATAAAAAGATTTCAGAGTTTAATTACACAAAAAGTAGGTCATGTTACATGAAGATTTACAAAGAAGCCAAGATTTTTTTCTCTTTTTAAAGTACGACTAGGTAATAATAGATACAAGCATATTTTTCTCATTCCTGATACGTGTTTTATTTGGATGCTGTGCTGTGATATTCGAGGATTTGGGACACACTCTTTTAGGTTGCAAGAGAACTGTGAAACGCAGACACCAACAGTAGGTGAAGTGAGATCTTCTGTGTTAGTTTCCGAAACGTCTAGCAGTGGGCCATTCTCTGACGGTGGCCTCGTAGCTGATAAAGAGAACAACCTGCCACGGCCATGTGAGGGGCCATTCCCAGATGGGGGAAGGACTCCAAGTCCCTAAATCTTTCTTAAAATTTTAGACTGAGAATCAACAGAAAACATCTAAATTCAGATAAACAGGCAAAGGTATTGAACAGACTATTCATAACTGTACTTATGACCACAATAAAAATAGAAGAAATGTAAATTTGAGTAAAATAATTAGATATCTATTTGGGGCCTATGAAATCACCAAATGCATTTAAAATTTAATTAGCATGATAGATGATTTCTGTTTTCTTATTTGCATTTGTCATATTTTAAAAAATACTGTGTAGGTGTTATTTTTATAACCACCCAATAGTATTTGAGAATATGCTCTAAAACGAATGAGCCCCGTTCATTTTATTCACGTTCAGGAAACTACAGTCAGCCAGTAGAAACAGTGCAGTAAGCTGGCTGTGCATGGTTTTATTTGTACTTGCCACTTTGCAAATATCATGGATTGGCAGGTGTAGCTCTTATTTTATCAGATACAAGAGAAATGGGAAATGACACAGAATTCCCACACATTGGAAGGGGGCATTTTTTAATTGAGCAGATACTATATCCTGTATGTTATGCTGAGTACTTTACACCTATATCTCATGCCATCCTTAAATGACAATGAGTGGGGCCTTTCCATTGGAAAGAATGCTGCAGTACGATGGCTGATAAGCAGATATCAATGTACAACAAAGCTTGCCATTAAAATTACTTTCAGAAGATATGGTAAGACTGCTTTTTTTGGGTCTTGGATTGTTAGTAGAGCCTCAAAGTTTAATAACCGAACCCCAGGTGCCTAATTTGCCCCACTGGGTCTTGTCACTGACTCACTGGATGACCTTAGTGAAATCGTTTTCCATCTGTGAGTGTGTTTCCTTGCTGTGAAGATGAAACTAAAAATAAATACTGCCTTCATCATGGGTTATGGTAAGGACTAGCTGAGTAATCTTTGCTAAGAAATTGAAACTTTTTCAAGCAAAAGGGGGAGAAGGAAAAAAATGCCTGTTTCATCATATAGGAAACTTGTTTGGGAGTTTTCTGACCCTAAAGTGATATAAATAAAATAGAAGACTTTTCTTCAACCTGCTTTGTTAGAGTATGAGACAAAACTGGCTGAATTCCGGTGTTCTTTGGTGCTGGCTAAGAGCGGCTTGGTTGCCCATGAGCAGGGCGGTCACAGGCTAGTTCCCGGTGGCCACGTGCACTCCGGAGAAAGCGGCCTCCTCCAGCCTGAGCTGTGCTCCCCCATGGGACTGAGTCGCTCGGACTGCCCAGTCTCTTCTCTCCCGAAGCTTCCAAAGCTCACTCTCTTCCAGGTGCTAAGTCCACCATCAATTTTTCTTTGACTAGTCTAGTTTTATTAGTGGTAGTTTTCTGATTTTAAATGGAAAAATTCTGCCTCATTTGCATTATTTTATTAATATACTTTTATTCTTCTCTTTGATGTGAGTGTCCAGTTCTAATAGCTAAGAAGATCCAGGAGTGCAACTCAGAAGTGTAGAAAGAAAGTGGGCTTCAAAGGTAAGGTTTTCCAACTGTCTTACGATGACCTCGGACACTAACCTCTTTGAGCTTCAGTTTCCAATGGGGAATACTAACCTTATAGGGTTGTTGTAAGGATCAGATACCTTTTCTTTATTTATGTTTCATGTCATACAAAACACACATAATGGGCATGGGCACCAAGTTTCTTACCTCATAATATGGTGGCAAAAAAAGATAAGCCCTGCCTTGGTAGAGCCCGTGTTGCGGGGGGAAGCTAAGTCCTAAGTATGGGTCTTTAACTCAGGTTCTAACAGGGGAACAGTCCACAGCACAGTGGGCCTGTCTGTGTTGGGTGCTGATGAGCTCTTCATTTACCGTCCAAATATCAGACAAAAGAACACATGGAGGGGTTATGTGATCTCATGTTGCTCCCATTTTTCACTACTTGTTCAAACAACAGTGACAGAACACCTGGTTCCCATGGGCAGGGAGTTCTGCTGGGCACTAGGAACGCCGACATCAGTGGGACCCTGCCTTGTCCTGGAGGGGCTGACAGTCGGAGTAGGGGAGGCAGACGCCTAAACGGGTGTTACACTTCAGAGCACTGAGCGCCACAGGGCTCTTACAGAATGCTTCAAGCTGGGACTAGGAACTGAGTCCCGAGGATGAAGAGACATTTATGATGCAGGGCGGCGGTGAGATGGTGGGGAAGAAGATGGAGTTGGTGCTTCAGACAGAAAGGACAGAGGAAAAGGCTATAGGGGGACAGAACGTTTTGTGCTTTTGGCATGTCACAGACCAGTTCAATTCAGTGTGAGGAGCTTGGAGGGAGCGGGGGACAGGCAGTTAAGAGGTGAGAATAAAAACTGGAAGTGTGAAGGGGTTGGCCTGCACGTGGTGCTGACCTTGGAAAAGGGAAGGCAGGTGGGAGACTGGGAGTGAGAGGGGCTGGGGGCCTGGAGGAGGCGTCAGAACCAGGAACAGTCAGGGGGCGGCATTCCAGGGAGGGTGGACAAGACTTAGTGAGTGGCTGGTGTGGGCATTGCGGGGAGGAGGAGACACTGAGGACAGCACCAACATCCCCTGCAGGGAGGATGTGGTGACATTAACCAGGGGAGGCTGAGAGTGCCACCTTTGATGCCAAATCCCACCTCCAGCTCTTCCCTGTGGCCCTGGGAAAATTAATTCTCTGTGTCTCAGACTCTTCACCTGAAAGTGAGGATGACAATAACAGAACCTCATAGAAAGTGGCTTTATTGTGTAGATTAAGTGAAATGACGCATGTAGACATCATCTTGGAGGAGAAAGAAGGCTTAGGGTGGTCCAGTTCTGATTACATGACAAAAAGCTGCCTCAAGACTCTGAGGACATTATGCCCATCTTTGTCAAAAGAAGGTGAACTGCCCAGTGGAGTGTTAGCTCAGAAGTCTCCAGCTGTGGAAACCCAGAGCAACTCTTGTGAGATTTGCTATCAACCAGAGGCAGGTGGAACTGTGGACCTTACATTTATTTCAGGGCCGGGGCAATAAAAATGTGAGTGAAAGTGTTAAACCTAGTCCCTTGGATTGTTCAGTCTGCAATGCTGGAGACCACACTGGCTCCTGGTGAGACTGTGAAATGGGTGTAGTTTGTTTTGGCCTAACTGCCTCCCAACTTCTCTAATGTTTCTCTAAAGATCTATTCCTCCTAAATCTTCTCTTTAAAGACTTAATTTTTCTAGGGCAGTATTAGGCTCACAGCAAAATTGAGCAAAAGGCACAGAGATTTCCCATGTTCCCCTGCCCCCGACCCTGGCAGAGCCTTCCCCATCGAAAACACCCTGCCCCTGAGTGATCCGTCAGCCGCAGCCGAGGAAGCCACACTCACCTGTCATTATCACCCAGGCTCCACGCTGTACAGTAGGGTTCACTACCTCTTCATGGCACCAATAAATAACACAGATTTAGTTGATGACTTTTAAAGGCTATGCACCCTACTGGGAGCATAGGGTAACTACCCTTGCCTGACAACCAAGGCATTTCAAAACCAGCCTGCTCCATCTCCTGTCTCTCACCAAACAATAAAGCTCCCAGTGCTGGAATGACTGAGGGTCTCACCAAGGCCTGCCTGGACACTCACCACTGTTTGTGAGACTTTGCAACCACTTTCTTTCTCTCCATCCTCACATTTGCTTTTATTCTGGACATATCCGACTCTGTGACCTCTTAGCTCCTTGACCCAGTGACCTTGCTTTCCAGTGGGCCACGGCTTCCCTTTCTCACGGTGCAGAATGTGAGTCTGAACCATGTTATCTCTTGCGACTGCTCCACCTCCAGCATCTCAGATTCAAACATCCTCCTCGCTGCCCGCAAACCCTGCCCTGCAGCTTCCTGCTCGAGTATTCCCTGTACAGCCTCCTTTACTTCTGGGTGACCTTTCCTGACCCTCACTTTTTCCCTATTCATGGCCCGCCACTGTTAACTTGCCTGACATCCATGCTGGATTCTGTCCCATCATGTCAACCGTGCCCTCTTTCTGTTGCATGTGCTGGCAAACTTGAAATCTGATGAACCCACTACCCTCACTACACTCGCTGTCTGATCTCTCTCAGGTAGCTGAGGACTGAGGAGCAGCCCCAGCCAGGCAGGTTGGGGTCACGATAAACTCACAGTTACCAACCACACACAGTGCTCTGTCTGGCTGGCCATCTCATTACACCTCTCTGACTTGCTTACTGTCCTGCCCCCCGAAAAAGCTTTTCAAACCCTATATCCTTCTGCCTCAAATGTCTCACTTCCTCCTCAATGACTTTGCTTCATATGGGACACAAAGAAATGTTAATATCTGCCAAGACCTCCCTCACCTTCCGGCCAGCAAATCTGGAACACAAGCTGCATCTGTCCTGGTTTTCCTCTTCTCTCTTCTCGTTACGGTGGAGTGGCCACTCCTCTTCTGAAACACACTGATCTCCCATCCTGCTCTGGACATTAAAGTACTGAGAAGTGGTTTTGTGTTCCCAGCAATATGGGAGTCATTGGTGACCTTAATAAAAGCCATATTGAAGTGAAATGAGAAGGAATTAGGTGAAGAGAGAAACAAGACAGTTATAGACAACTCATTTAAGCAATTTCATTATGAAGGGAGGCCATTGCTAAATCTCCAAAACCTTAAGCTATCAGTGATTCCTTTTGCCTTTTCTTCCTCTCTACCCATTCCCTTCAGCCCTTAAACAGGCAAAGGTCTCAGTCCTCTAAACAGTAGCAAAAACTGCATAAACAAGAAACGAAAACCCTCCTTCAGCCTTACATCCCTCACCTATTGGCCTATTCATTGCTGCCCTTCATAGTCAGATTTCTCCGTGGAGTTGCCTTGTCATTTTTTTTTTCATCTTCTAGGCCTTTCACATCTCATTTCAATATTATTTTCTTAAGGTCACCAATGACTTTGAGATGACCAGAACTGCCCCCACTCCCCCTTGCCAAAAAAAAACCCCCAAACAAACAAACAAACAAAAGAAATCACTTTTCAGTCTCCTAACGTGTTTTTCACAGGTGGTCCTTGATGGAAGAGTCTTGCAGGTTTGGGGAAGTGACTTCCCGAAGAAGGTTACATCATCAGTTCAACAAATCAACGGCACAGGTGCAGACTGCATACTCTGGAGGCACTGGGCCGTGTCCAGAGAATGCACAGCAGCATGAGACCCAGCTCTGTTCTCTAGGCCCTGTGGACTGGCCTGTGGGGGGCAATGATGGTACGTGGTGGGCACCACACGCAGCAGCAGCCACCAAGGAAGAAGGGCCCCAGAGCACAAAGGAAGGAGTGGGGAGCCGCCTTCGCTGGAGTGGTTGGAAAAGGCTTTGCAGGAGAGGTGGTGCCCAGGCTGGAGTTTGAGAAGTGAAATGGAGGGGCTGAGAGGCTGGGGAAGTGCACTCCAGGCAGTGAAATCAACAGGTGCGACATGCAGGGAAGCTCGTGTCACGTGGGACTGTGAAAGCCCTGGGTGGAAGTGAGGTGTGTGTGGGGCGTGGGGTATGGTGTGGGGATGGCATATGGAGCTGGATTCATGGTGAAATCTGACCAGGAATGCCTGGGTGCTCAAATCTTGGCCTCTGGTCTGTCTCTCCAATCCCAATGACGTCAGAATCACTATATTTAGCCTAAGTACGGACCTAGGTGCTAGCAGGTACAGAATAAATGAAAAATGGTTGAATGACTATTTTAGTTCATGAAATTCTACCACATTATTTGTGTCATTTAACTTAAAAGTACTAGGAATAGAGTTAGGCACAGAGTACAAGAGGCAGTGAAACATAATGGTTAGGGCATCATCTATGGGACTAGAGACACAGGTACTGTAACCTTCCCAAAGAAAGTTACATCATCAGTTCAACAAATCAACGGCACACGTGCAGACGGCATACTCTACTCAGTAGACCAGATACTGGCTTCACCACTTACTGTGATTTTGGACAAGTTACTTAATCTCTTTGAGCCATCTGTACACTGGGAATTCTGACAGTGCCTAATTCATAAGGTTATCATGAAGGTTAAAAGAGTTTATAGGTATATAGCACTTAACCCAATGCCTTGTAACGACTCATGATAATTGTTTGTAATTACCATTAATAATAAGTTACAAATAGGTTGGGCACGGTGGCTCATGCCTATAATCCCAGTAATTTGGGAGGTTGAGGTGGGGGAATTGCTTCAGCCTAGAAGTTTGAGACCAGCCTGAGTAACATTGTGAGACCTCGTCTCTATTACAATTAAAAAAAATTAGGCATAGTGGCATACACATGTAGTCCCAGCTACTTGGGAGGCTGAGGTGGGAGGATTACATGAGCCCAGGACTTCGAGGCTGCAGTGAGCTATGATCGTGCCACTGTGCTCCAGCCTGGGTGACAGAGTGAGACCCTGTCTTGAAATAAATAAATAAATAAATAAATAAAATAATATAAGCCACAAACATTTATTACTAAAATTTAAATTATGATTATTTATTGACCATTATGATTGAATCCTCCCAGAGCTCCGATTCATAATGCCCTCTCTCCCACGTCAATTGCAATCTTTTCCTGGTGTATCTTTTGCTCATTTGAGATTCAGATCACTCACCAAGCGTATCTGTTAGCTGGTAGAACATAAGTTACATGATAAGCACCTGCAAGGAGAATTGGAACAATCATTCATTGACTTAAACATGATGCTATTCCAAAGCTGAGATAGCCCTTCTTCCTTATTTAAAGTACAGTTAGATAATTGATGTGTAAACCAGTATATCTGTCTGGAATTATGTTCTACAGGGCTAAAGAAATGATGATCTGACCTAGGTGTGCACTCTGGAAGATTCCCGTGAAAATCTCTCCATATTTTTTGTTTATTGGCACGTCAGCTTTTTTGTTTATTGGCACGTCAGCTTTTCAGAGGCACTGTTCAGCCAAAGGGCATGTGTTTTTATGTTCTGAAAAATTGTATTAACCAACAGTGTAAAACAACAGAAACCGGTTGCAAAGCTTTCACTTTTAAAGAGTTTCCAAGCACCCTGCCCTTTTCCTAAAGGACTCTTTTCCCTTTTATGGATGAGCACCAGGCTCCAAGACAGTGTAAATAGAGCTTCCTGTTCCAGGGAAGTGCTGGCTCCTGCAGGAGCCCAGGGGTCCTTTGGGAAAAGTTGATAGGAACTATGAGCTGTATGTGCCCTGAGGCTTAGGAGCCAGCTGAGCCAGGAGGGAGGGAAACACATTTAACAGCCCCTTTGTGCAGACTTCAGTCCCAGAAGCACTTCTGGGAAAATAAGTCCAGTGCCATACACACAGTCCTTGTAAAGAATGGCAGGGAAGCTGGCCGGGCTGGAGAGAGCCATTCCCAGATTAGACGCCTAAATCTTTGACCTGGCCACTTTGAGGAACCCAGAGATGTCTGTAATTCCCACAATTCAGGGATCCTGTGCTTCAGATGAGTGAGGTTTCAAGAAACAGAAGAAAACTGAATAGATGTTAACTTTGGCCCAACAGCAAGTATTTTTCAGTGTGGTTAGTGTTTACACACTGAGGACATGAAAATTAATATATATTCTTCTCTCTTGGACTATATTATCTTCCTGTATTTTTTTTTTTTTTTTTTTTTTTGAGACGGACTCTCGCTGTGTCACCCAGGCTGGAGTGCAGTGGCGCGATCTCGGCTCACTGCAAGCTCCGCCTCCCGGGTTTACGCCATTCTCCTGCCTCAGCCTCAGAGTAGCTGGGACTACAGGCGCCCGCCACCACGCCCGGCTAGTTTTTTGTATTTTTTTTAGTAGAGACGGGGTTTCACCGTGTTAGCCAGGATGGTCTCGATCTCCTGACTTCGTGATCCACCCGCCTCGGCCTCCCAAAGTACTGGGATTACAGGCTTGAGCCACCGCGCCCGGCCTATCTTCCTGTATTTTTAAATGATAATAATACAAAGCATTATTTTTGTGGTTGAGTTGATGGGCCACTCACTTTGATAATTTTCTTTGACTTTTGTTTGCTTTAGAATCTCATCAGTGGTGGCAAGGAAACGAACCAGGAAAGTACAATTAATACTTTTGGACTTATTCATTATGATATTATGACAATCATATTATTTTGATGATAGTTAACATTTACTGAACACTTGCTATGTGCTCCGCAGTGAGTTAAGTCAATAGTCTCCATCCGTAAACAATCTTGCATGAACTTACAAATTGTCTGCTAATTTAATACAAAGTATGTAAACGTACCACCATGCTATCATATTATGTACATTTATAGAGCATAAACAAAAATAAAAACTAAAGGAGTGATGTAAATAAACATAAATATCAGTTCTAATATTTTCTTCTTGCATAAGAGCAGATTGTCTACTGCTGGAGTTTTGGCACCCCTGTTTGAAGCCCACTCTGCAAATACTATACAAACTGTTATTAATTCCTTGCCCAAGGCCAGTGGGTTATCTTTGTATGTCTACCCTGTAACCTTACTGACTTCTGTAGTTTTTCCATCAGCACTTCCAGGAAGCCACACTATCATATTAGTATATTCCTATTTCTGCATCTCCTCAATCTAAATATTAGATGCATGTATTTAAACAGTGTGTCCAGATTTGCTGCAGACTTATCATCTGAGATCCTTAAAACAGTCTGAGTCAAATTTGTAGCTTTATCTTCTGATCAGACATAAGAATCTCAGAATGAGATTTCCTCCTCTGAAGCTTCTTTCTTAATCCAGAAATGAAATCTAAATATCAGTCTTGTTGTGGATAAGATTAAGCTCAGAAACACAGATAAAATTAAGAAAATGGTTCCATTTAGAATAGCAGCAAAAGAAAAATAAAATATTTAGGAATAATAAAAGTGGTGCAAAACATGTACTCAACTACAAAACACTGTTGAAAGAAAAAAATTTTTTTTTTTTTTTTGAGAATGAGTCTCACTCTGTCACCCAGGCTGGAGTGCAGTGACACAATCTTGGCTCACTGTAACCTCTGCCTCCCAGGTTCAAGCGATTCTCCTGCCTCAGTCTCCCAGGTAGCTGAGATTACAGACGTGCGCAACCATGCCCAGCTGATTTTTGTATTTTTAGTAGAGACAGGGTTTCACCATCTTGGTCAGGCTGGTCTTGAACCCCTGACCTCAGGCAATTCACCTGCCTCGGCCTCCCAAACTGCTGGGATTACAGGCATGAGCCACCACACTTGGCCTGAAAGAAAGTTTAAAAGTTCTAAACAAATGAAAGGTCATCCCATATTCTTGGATTGGAAGACTTAATAGTGTTAAGATGGGAATACTCTTCAAATTGATCTACACATTTAACTCAATTCCTATCAAAATCCTAGCTGACTTATTTCCAGAAACTCACAAACTGATCCTAAAATTCATGTGGAAATTCAAAGAACAGAGAACAACCAAAACAATCTTAGAAAGAAGAACAAGAAGAAAGCATGGAGGACTCATGCTTTCTAATTCCCAAACATAATATAAAGGAACAGTAATCAAGACAGTATGGTGGTGGCATAAGGATAGACATATAGATCAACAAACAGAATTGAGAGTTCAGAAATAAGCTCTAACATTTATAGTCAGTTGATTTTCAACAAGTGTACCAGGACAATTCAATGGGAAAAGAATAGTATCTTCAATAAATGGTGTTGGGGAAATTGGATATCCACATGCCAAAGAATGATATTGAGACCTTACAATCATGCCATACAAAAAAATTCAAAATTGGCCAGGTGTGGTGGCTCACACCTGTAATCCCAGCCCTCTGGGAGGCTGAGGTGGGTGGATCACCTGAGGTCGGGAGTTTGAGACCAGCCTGACGAACATTGTAAAACCCTGTCTCTACTAAAAATACAAAGTTAGCCAGGCATAGTGGCACATACCTGTAATACCAGATACTCAGGAGGTTGAGGCAGGAGAATTACTTGAACCTGGGAGGTGGAGGTTGAGGTGAACCAAGACCACGCCATTGCACTCCAGCCTGGGCAACAAGAGCGAAACTTCATCTAAAAAAAAAAAAAAAAAATTGATTAAAGATTTAAGGGTAAGGGCTAAAATTATAAAGCACTTAGAAGAAAATATAACATTATAACCTTGGATTAAGCAATAATTATTTTTTATGGCACTGAAAGCACAAGCACAAGCAGCCAATAAGAAAAACAAATAAATTGAACTTCATCAAAATTAAAATCTTTTGTACTTCAAAGGACACTATTAAGATAGTTTACTCTCTTAATAATTAATAATAATTATTATTATTATTACTTTTTAGATGGAGTTTCGCTCTTGCTGCCCAGGCTGGAGTGCAATGGCACGATCTTGGCTCACCACAACCTCTGCCTCCCAGGTTCAAGTGATTCTCCTGCCTCAGCCTCCCGAGTAGCTGAGATTACAGGTGCATGCCACCACGCCCGGCTAATTTTGTATGAGATGGGATTTCTCCTTCTTTAGTAGAGATAGGGTTTCTCCATGTTGGTCAGGCTGGTCTTGAACTCCTGACCTCAGGTGATCCACCTGCCTCAGCCTCCCAAAGTGCTGGGATTACAGGCACGAGCCACCGTGCCCAGCCCAATAATTAAGAATTATTATTAATTAATAAGTATGTGAGGCAATTCACAGAATGGGAAGAAATTTGGGCTCTCTATATATAGTATATAATCATATATAATGTACTTGTATCTAGAATATATAAAGAAATATTGCAATTAAATTTTTAAAAACGCAACTCAATAAAAAACAAAATCCACAAACAACACAATTAAAAAATGGGCAAAAGACTAGAATAGACATTTCTCTGAAGAAAATATACAAGTGACTAATACACACATGAAAAGATGCTTAACATCACTAGTAATTAGGGAAATGCAAATCAAAACAAAAATGAGATACCAACTCACATCCATTAGGATGGCTATTATAAAAACAAAACAAAATAAAAAACACTCAATAAAGGTGGGCGCGGTGGCTCATACCTGTAATCCCAGCACTTTGGGAGGCCGAGGTGGACAGATCTTCTGAGACCGGGAGTTCGAGACCGGCCTGACCAACATGGAGAAACCCCGTCTCTACTAAAAATACAAAATTAGCCAGGTGTGGTGGCATGCACCTGTAATCCCAGCTACTCTGGAGGCTGAGGCAGGAGAA